TGGACCTGCTCCTCGCTCCGAATAACGATAGTTGGTGCTTGATCCTCCTTTTTAACATACACGTTGCCGTAAGACGTCCAGCAGTACTTGTAAGCTCCAGATTTAACTAAGTCTCGAGCAAGGAAGTGCAGCCGGGAACCCTTTGCAGTCAAATGCTCTGATAGAAATATGGGATCATCTTCTTGAGTTTTGAAGCCAAGATGCTTGCAGCAAAGTTTAGATTTGTGTTTTATATTAAACATTTTTGCTGCTTTAAATATTTCAGTTTTCAAAAGAGTCGATCCTGTTTCCACAATTATAGGAGATCGTTGCTGTTCTAAGTTCCTTCCACGAACTCTGTATATATCTTTGATGTCATATTTGTTGATATTACAGCCAATCGATTGGGATAAATATAGGGTCATTTCTATAAGATCTTCCTTTGTTTCATTGTTCTTCTTTGGAACATTTTTTATAACAAAATTAGTTTTTCTGCTTCCAATCTGCATCTCCTCTATTTTATTTTCTAACGTAATTATATATTTTTTATCTTCCTTGGCTTGGTTCTCCAACTGAATGATTTTCTGTTTGTACTCCTCATTTTGTGCAGTAAGAGATGCGATCGAGTTTTCTATGTTAAAATTAGATTGTTGAATTCCCTTTAGGGTTGAGGTGATTTTCATCATTTCACTATCATGATTAGCTGCAAAAAGTTCCATCATTTTCTTCATTTCCTCTTTAAATTCATTCAATTGCTGAGCAAGACTGTCGTCCATATCCTCTCTGCTTCGTTTGATTCTTCTGAATACATAGTTTGGCGGTGTTATGTTTCCACTGCCCACCAGATTAACATCCGTGTCTGACGAAGACTTGTTTAGCTGCGATTCCATAGTATCTGTGAAGTTAGCGCAGTGAGTCACGTAGCCCGCAGCGATGCCAAGTACCAGGCGTCTCGCGCGCAAGAGGCAAGCGTTGCGCGGTGTTTAGAGTATGGCGCGTAGTAATAGTAGGCGGCGCTTGAGGTCGTCCGTAGCAGTTTCGTAGCGCGTAGCACGTTGATCTTATGGTGGGAGTCTACGTCGTAGCGGAGCGCAGCAAGACAAGGACGGCAATTATGGCGAGATGCGCTGCACTTCTCGCACAGACACTCTGCGTTCGCCAAGGTCGGAATTGCCTTTCACTTTGCTGCACTGATTATATTGAATTGCGAGGTTATTGACTTTATTTTAAGGAATATTTTAGAATAACTAGCAATTAACTGCACGATAATATTTAAATAAAAAATAGTTAACACGTCTGCTCGGAAAGACAGCTTGGGCGAGAAGGATTTATGTGTTTTTACTAGCTTTAATTTATCTCTCACATTGATCTAGTACTTGTAGTCGCAAGGAGTGTTGTTTTCGATTCTTAGGTCGTGCATTATTGAGTTATTTACTTCGAACACTAATTGCTCGGAAATTGGAATTGTGTCACGATTTTGACATACCTACCTGATATGATATACCTATGTGGGTGTTGCTTTCGATGTAATTACCTATTTAATCTAGCTTTCTTTTTTTGTTAGGGGAAATTCATTAAAGACTTCTTCCGCCCAGTGTGAGGCGCGAGGGATTGTCAGACTCTTACCTACTGACTAAAAACACTCTCATTTCTTCTCCTGCTTTATAAGTAATCTAGCTAGAATCTTATATTCGGATACTATGTGGCAATAGTAGATATTCCACATCGACTACTCACTGGAGGATTCCTACGATTTTCAGACTTGTTACCAGTTGAGAGCACCCAGTAATGCCCATTAACAAAACATTGTAGGTACCTTAATTAGGCTTTAACAAGGTTTATAAAATATACGCGAATGCTTGTAATTCTGTTTCATTGATGAATTGTTGGTTATAATATTTTCACGTAAATTCTACTTAGCGGATCTGAATGGAATTGGACCCAGAGATAGATAATGTTATAATTACACTGTAGGCTACTTTTTACCCTGGTGTTACGGACGAAACTGCCGGAAGCTGTTTTAAATATAGGTATGTAGGTATATGTAGGTACGTTATACCTATATTGTACGGAATGGTCTATCTATATCAGTGTAAACTATGGAAGGAAATAAAATATTGTAAAACAAAATATCCTCTCTCAACTGTGAGTTTGGAGAACGAAAACAGTTAGGAGATAGATTATTTTTTATTTAATAGGTCGGCAAACGAGCAGACTGATTACCTGATGGTAAGCAATCAGCGCCCGCCCATGAACACTCGCAACGGAGGAGTTACGAGTGCGTTGCCAACCTTTTAGGGATTAGGGATTTGGAGATTTAGGGATTTAGGAGGGATTGGGGGAGGGGAAGGATTGGGCCATTATACATAGAAGATTCTATTCATCGCTTATTGGAATATGTTCAGTACCTAGGTATGAGGCTGATATGAGTAGGAAAGTACCTACTTAGGATCCATTGACCTCGTTTACTAAACAATTGTCTTGATGCACGATGGGACTACCATAGGTAGATACCCAAACTACCTACAGAACACAGAACCTATAGAAGTCCCTAAATTATTAAAGAAATAAGTAGTAAATTGGTGGGATATCCAGGTACCTACCTACTGTTAGAAAAATTCTCGGTGCACTATTTCCGTAGGTACCAAGCTAAACAAATGGTTACTGTGTTCTATATTTAAAAAAGTAGGCAGATTAAATATGTATTTTTTATAACGAGATGTTTATTAACTAAAACTTATATAAGTATATTAGTGTACTCATATAAGACGTATAATTAAAGTATAGGTAGGTGCATTATGTAATTATTATACATTCTACAACAGCAAAAATCTCATACTTAGATTGATTTAATGTTTAGCTTAATTTAAAAGAAATACCTAAGTTGCAATTACCTAGATAAAAAAGATGATGTCAATTTTTATTTGAGACGATGGCTCTTGTACTTCCTAAACTATTATTTTCTCCTTGAACAATTTGTAAATCGCATATTTTCCGTGCGGAATTCGAAAGCGTGACACGTTGTAGAGGTGGACTGTCAAGCAACCAATTTCCTAGCCCCTGCGCCACTCGACAGTCAAATTAGTCTCATACTAAATTCGTAAAAACACATTTTCGTAAATTCATCTACATAGGTACTTAGTATCGACATTTTAAAAAGATACCTAAAGACCCTAAAGTAGGTAGATACATAGGTACGTTAATTAATTAGAATGGTCATGATCACTATTCAAATGAAAGAGTTCGACAGTTGGGTATCTTAAACATTTTCCCCCTTGGGTATTAGAAAGAAAATGTATCTTTAGTCTATGATTCAATTAAAATGTATCTTGAGTCTATTAACCCTTGAGTCGGGTTTTGAATTTTGAATCTTATTTTCAATTCGAAATACAGAAACTGGTTCAATGGTTTAGACCAAGACTAAAGAAAAACCTTGTTTTGTAATAAGGCCGATTTAAATTAAAATAGGTATTAGTTAAATTTTAATATTCAGTACCTAGGCGGCTATGTTATTTTAGATTTCACATGTAAATGGCCGGACGAGGCGTGCGGCGTGCGTGCCGCGGGCGGTGGGCGTGCGCCGATCTTTTGACCAATAGGAAACCAGCTACAAACATACCGAATGTTTTACCTTTTTTCAACGGCCAGTTACATTAATTGCTCATTTACATATTTTGACCATTACACGAAAAATACATTGGAGTGGTGTAGGTATGCTTACCTATATAGGTCAGGATAAAGCACTTTAGCGGGTTGCCTACGTTATCCAGCCTTGATACACTCATTCTTACTTAGAATACCTAAGTACTTAGTTTTTTAGATACTTAGGTAAGTACATAGGTAACTACAGATACATAGGTGGGTACTTGTGTTGCAGTGCAATTACTTATACTTGTACATGCACATGTAAGTAGTGTGTAGACATATTTCAATATTTTAGTACCGAAATCCCTTTTGAAACTGAACGAAATTTAAGTCATGGGCAAAATAGTAACTTCCAAATACCTATCTGTTTTTGCATTATCGTTATCATCCTCAAGACATCCACTGCTGAACGTAGGTAAATCTCGGCCTATGTTAGACAGCTCAAATGATGTCCAGATTGGTGACTTTTCAACTCGACGATACGTACCTACCCGTTGATTAAAACTTAAAACCACCCCGTCCCCAACACAACCTGCAACCCCGGGTAGTTATTTTGAGATGTTAAAAAGCCATGGCTGGATTATGAAATTGTGGGGCTGAGCCCCAGCAAAGGCTGCAAAATTTTTGACAAATAGAAAAAAAAATACCAATCTGGAGGGCCTAGGGGGGGTTCACCAATAGGTAGATAGGTACCCTACCAAGTCACCTTGCTTAGCTGCGTTCATTATGCCCACACAGCATACCTACACCAGCGGCTGGTATTGAGAATCCAGATGGCATATCCACATTTACCTAGTCAGTTTGCTAGGTCAAAAATAAATTAATTCGACGTGTCAATACAAAAAAATATTGAAAAATAACTATACATTTATTAATCAATCAATCGATACACTAAGTTTTAGATATTTTATAGCTAATTATTAAGTAATAAGTAAGCTATTTGACGCAAAAATACTATGACGTCATAACTCAGTCTTTCATACAAATTTCATAGAAAAGTATCGTTTTTGACATTTGGATAAAAGTATTGAATTTGACTAGTTGGAAATTATCGTATTATCTGATGTTATAGTACTCGTATGATGGACTAAGATGAACCGAGTTGTATAATTAATTACACACACTCACCTTACCTAATATATTTTATGTTGAAGTGAGAAACCTAGGTAGTTAATCGTCAAATTATATTTTTGAGGAGAAGTAACGTTATACGGAAAATTAACTATTTTTTGATGTATAGTGTAGGAATTTAATTCACTAGAACTAAAATCTAAAAGTAATTGTCTATGCCACAAGCTTAAAGAGAATGACACTGACATGTGACAAATGACGTGACGTTTTAATATCAATAAGCTGTCTGTCTCATTTCATGATACGGGAATTTTGCTCAATTGCTGCTCGTTTTGGGCAGTAATTAACTTTTTTATAAGAAAAATACATAAACATATCTAATACAAATTATTTAATTACTCTCCACAATACCAGTGTAAAAAATAAGTAATCACAGGAAACTGTGAATCTTATTTATTAGACGAAAAGTAAACAAGTTTCAATTATTTGTGGGCCCGTAATAAAACCCCAAAAGGTCAGTAAAAAAACGTATCTACATGACTTAATAACTATTTGAATACAACAGTTACAATGTCTCCTTACCATACAGTTTCTGTTTAATAATATAACCTTGGTAATCTACTTATTTCACAGATGCAATTAACATCCGACCCTAGGCGTGCTGACAGAGAACGTCGATTCAAACCGCCTCCACCGACATCAGCTCCGGCTGAAGATCTCACCACAGATTACATGAATATTCTAGGTATTTACTTAAGCAATTTATTGTCTTACACAAACCATGACCTACTTTTGATACTAAAATAGCCTTTTCGGTTTCCAGGTATGGTGTTTTCTATGTGTGGTCTTATGATGCGTCTTAAGTGGTGTGCATGGACTGCAGTATTCTGTTCTAGTATTAGTTTTGCTAATTCTAGAGTTTCTGATGATACTAAACAGGTATGTAAAGAAGAAAAAGTTTATTAAACATTTTCCTGCAATAAGCACCTATGTAATAAAAAAATGTGAAGCTTAGACACATAATAATATGATATTAATAAGTGTTAAAAGTACTTTCATTAGTTACATTAACATTGAAACCAAAGGTCATTTCATAATTATTCATTTTTCTTTTATTTCGCTTTTGGCATACATTTGATTGTTCTACATCTTTCCTAAAGTTCCAAGAGATTAAAGAATATCCCTAATTCCTTAAAATTTTGTTTTCTGCTATGCGAGACAATAGAAAACATGTTATGTCTTGCTTACACCTACTCTCTAGCAAAAAACGGGAATAATATAGATGGATGACAGACATTTGCTATACTTTTTTCTACATATTATACTACATATGCCTTTAAAATTATTTTAATTGTTTGCCTGAAGCTGTAAAATATAATGTACAGTCAGTGGTCAAAAATGCAATTAAACTCTTCCAATTTTAAAATGTAATATTTCAATATTTCACAGCCAGTTTATTCAATAATTTAGATTCTATGCTATAAATTAAAGCAGTCCTCAACCATTGACTCTATACTACCAAGATATTTTGGTCATTTTAGAATTGGTAGAGTGCAATTGCATTTTTGACCCTTGACTGTACATACATGAATTAAATTGATATTAATTATGTAATTAATTTGTTTCAGATTGTAAGCTCCTTTATGCTGTCAATATCTGCAGTTGTTATGTCGTACCTACAAAATCCTGCTCCAATGTCACCCCCATGGGCAGCTCTTACTACATAGATATTGTTTTATTACCGTAAAACCGGGTGAATAGAATTCGAGGGGTAAATAGACACGGAAGAGGGGTGAATATATACAAGGAAAATTCGCCAACATCTATTCTCCCCTTTCGTGTATCTATTCACCCCTCAAATTCTATTCACCCCGTTTTACCCTCAAATTATATAATTTATTACAATTATTACATGTTACATCTCTTCCCAATCAAATGTTTTATTTAAATAATAAATCCTGAATAGGTAGGGCAATAAAAGCTTGATGAGGTTATTTTTTTTGTGAGAGGAAAATCATCAAATGACTTAAATAATCATTAACCCGCCCAGGGCCGGGCGGGAGGGAGTGTCGGAGTCTTACTGACTAAAACGCCCATGTTCCTTCTCCTACTCTGGCTTATAAAAACATCTACTAGTAGTAGAATACACTTTCCGTGTGTTTTATACACTTGACGCCCTAGACTAAATTTTCTGACAACGCTTTAATGGTTATTTTAATTAAAAAAAAACATTGAGCACTGGTTTACCCCAGGCCTGTATCGAACCCGCTTCACGTTATACAGTAGACACTTAGTCATTTTGCTTACCGTTAAGTCCTCTAAGACGATAAAAGAAATAATACTTTCACTAGTTTTTTTCTAGTTTTCCTAGGAAATGTATCGGAGTCAAAATAGACAATAGTCGTACTAAATCGCCAATCGTATTGTCTATGCATTGCAGCAAGTCAACGTCAACGTCAGTTGTCAAAACTAACTTGCCGGAGGAGAGAAATTCTTTCTCGCAAGTTACACGCTAACGTGTTTCTATGATTTTCTATAATTAAACTCAATTAAGTGCAAATAGGTATAGATTTTAATCTTTCCTTGTGGCATTCGTCGTGTCATCTAACTAAGACCAGGGTTTATAGTAATCAGGTACTTAAATTTATATTAACTCCATTAGGTTATCTTGTTTCTAACCACAACAGATGTTAAATTATAATAATACTGAATGTATGTATTACTTTGATTAATAATATCAGCTACGACTATCCGTTAGGATATTAGGGGTTGTCTTAGTGTTGATATTTATACAATAATCTGCTTTCAGCAGCCTTAGTTCTAGTACAAATAGTATTTTACTTCTAAAGGGGACCATATCCTACTATTGACTGCATTTCACATTACCTATGTCGGTCTATGTAAGTTCCTTAAGGACTCATTTCCCCATTGTTGGTTCAGTAGGTATATAAAAAATATTATGACTTTATTATTGCAACATTTATTACATAGTGATGAAAGTCTACAATATTATGATCTAAATTAACTATTTTATTATTCTAAAACTCCCCAATAAAAGTGTAATATATGTAAAATTTTCAGAATGCCTCCAAAGAAAGTTGAGGAACCTGAGAAAAAGCCTTTAATTGGAAGAGTGGGTACCAACTTGAAAGTTGGTATTGTTGGTGTGCCCAATGTGGGAAAGTCAACATTTTTCAATGTCCTCACCAAAAGTCAAGCGGCGGCTGAGAACTTCCCATTCTGCACCATTGATCCTAATGAAAATAAGTATTTTACTAATAATTTTTCTTTAATCTGTATTAACATTATATAAGTGAAGGTTTATTAATTTGAAAGTTTCTATATCTGAAACTAATGATTTGGATTAATCATTTCTGTATGTGTTAGATTATTTTTTACCATTACATAATATTACCCCCAAAAAATAATCTCCTATAGAATAGACATATTCAAAATAATTTCTTCCCAATTAAATATTATTGTGAAATATTTTCATCATACAACAAGTGACATAGACTTCATAAAAACTAATGGAATCATTTTAAAAATAGACACAGAAGTCATGGATAATTAAAAAGGATTTTTTTTTGTAAATTTAAGTTATGTTTGTTTGTTGTAAAGTGTGAATATCTAAAATTCTAAAAAAGTTTTGATAGATATTTAAAGTTGTTGTGGAAAACATTAGATTGCATATTATTTCACAAATATTGGATATCGACACTAATCCAATATCGTAGTTTCCAACTAGTACAAATTCAATACTTTTATTCAAATGTCAAAAATGATACTTTTTTATGAAATTTGTATGAAAAACTGACTTATGAGGTCGTAGTATTTTAGCGTCAAATAGCTTACTTATTTCTTAATAATTAGCTAAAACTTATGTCTCAATTGATCAATGAATAAAAGTATATTTTTCAAATTTTTTTTGTATTGGAACATTGAATTAATTTATTTTTTACCAAGGAAACTATCCAATTTTATATATTGTTCCATCACAATTTTGTCTCATTTTCTATTTATTCTAAACCAAAATTTTTTACTTAAATTTATCTACATATGGGACCTTGAAAAACAAATCTTTTTGGTAAATTAGAATTAGAAAATAGAATGAATACTTAGGTAAATAAAAACAATCAACTATTTTGAAAAGTTGACATGTCACCTATGACACATCAATTTATAATTTTTTTGTGTTGCTTGTATTCAGAGGGGAATTTAATTTAGTGTCCTATTTATGTGAAAACACGTTGGAAAAATGATTGAATATGAAAAATATAAACGTAATCTCGAGCTCATTGATACCCATAATGTCAAAAAGCTTAAAATCGACAAAGGTATTGTGTATACAGGAGATACTGAATGTATCAATCCAAAAATTCAAGAAAAGGAGCACACATGTCCAATGCTGGGTGCTGCAATAGTTGGCTTAAACAATACGGCGGCTCCATTGCCTGAAGACACTAAATTTCTTGATATTTGGGCGGATATTGATGTCCAAGAAGTACACTTGAGCAAGAAGCCTACCTGTTATATAATATTTGGAAAGTCTGGCTCTGGAGGATTTAATTTAGGAGAAGCAATGGCTAAAAAGCTGAACATACTGCATTTGTGTCCAAAAAATATATTACTAGATGAATTAGCTCAACAAAGTAGCACAGGAAGAACTTTAGATTTTAATATGAAAAACAATAAAATTTGTCAATATAACATGATACTAAAAATATTAAAAATCAAAATAAATTCTGAAGTAGTTCAGCATCGAGGTTATGTTATATCGGGACTACCGCTAGTTACCTGTAGTAGAAATCCTCTATGCCTAATAGACTCATTATATGGTGAAGAAGCCGTTTTAGAAGTGGATGATTTATTATTCGACACAATTCGTAATTTAAAGAAAAAGAATCCCAAGTCATCTCGTCGTGAATCATCGCCGTCTTCTAAAAGTAGTGGTTTCATCACAGAAGAGGAACTAGAGGATTATGAAGAAGAAGAAGAAGAACATTTAGAAGATCTGCAAGCTGAAGAAGCCTTGGAAGAAGAAGACAAACCCGTAGAACTGCCGACATTTGAGCTACAAACTTGCTCCAATATTATTTTTCACAAAAAAACATACATGAAGTCGAAACAAGCTGTTATTTTTCAGCAACTTCAAGAGTTATTTAATTTACCGCTCAAACCTGATATAATTCTACAAATGAATTGTCCTGAAATGGATTTAGTGAAAATGAGGTCTTATAGATTCCTAAACTACAAAACTGGTCAAAATGCCATCAAACCCTTCATGTCTAATTACGTTCACGAACAATCTTGGCCTACTAAATATACTATGCATGACTATGAAAATCCCTACGATACTCATACGTATAATCCTAAGTACCATTGTAAACCACCAATGAATTTCGAAAAAAAAGTTATTGAACAAATATGCAGTTACAGAACTTATGTTTTGCCGTATTTGGAAAAAAAATTTAAAGAATTTGATCCAAAAATGATAATTCAATTAGACGGCCGTACGCCGTGCGGGAAAATGCTTCACAATATATTGGAGAGATTAATTTTATTACCTGTAGATCCAGTAACGGTGCCGACTCCATTTTCCGATGCGTCATCAGCAGACATGGAAGAATTTTGGTCGATTATAGACGAATCGAACGTTATTCGTAGCGATGTCATTAACTTCAAGTATGTTCCATCTCCTTGGTATAATAGATGTCCTGTAGAATTAAAACGGAGACGAATTAAGTTAGGGCTCACAAAATATGCGGTCTACTACCTAAAACATGTGTACTTACTATCTTCACGCAATAATTTTATTTCGTTTAACAGAAACCCACGTCCTTATTTAAAAATAAAGTATTTAGAACCGACTTGTAGATTTATAGTGCTAGGAACCAAAAGCTCTGGAAAAACCATGATCGCCCATTGTTTATCGTGGCTATTTGACGCTCCTATTCTCGATTTCCAAACGATTGTGAATAAAGAAAAAGATAAAAAATATATAACAGTTGCCCAAACTATCCTATCGGAAATCATAGCAACTATTGAAGACGCTCGTTTATTAGAATGGCAAGCTGTTGAGTCACGACGAATAGAACTATTAAACAATTGGTGTGAGTCCACAAAAAAATTATTGGAACAATATTTGCCACTGCTCGTCAAAAACAAAAAATACATGTGCGCCAAGAAAAAACAAATGAAAACAAATGATGATGAACGAGAACAAGGACTAAACGATGAAGAATATTTGGATGAAGAAATAACGTTAGATTTCTTGGAAGAATTTGAAGTACTCAGAACACAGCTTCATTATTTACCTATATTAGATAGTGTAACGGAATGCGAGAGCGCCCTTTCTGGTCAAAGTATTTTACAATATGCGCCTACAGAACTTAGTACCGAAACAAAAATACCTTCGATTCCTGTTATTGGTGATGAAGATGTAACAACAGCTATATCAAAATATATCACTGCAAATGATTTGGAAAAAAGCCTCGAACCAACAACTGAACAAGTAATGGAAGAAATTGTTAAGTTACTTACCGAAATAGATAATCAACGTGCTGAAGAAACACAGTCTGAAGAACTCTATGGAAAGTATATTTTAGATGGTTTTCCACCAGATCCAGAATATTGGTCATCCCTTAATGATAATGTGTTTCCAGATTATACGATAACTTTGATAGAAAATCGTGAAATTGATCAAAAACTATATGAATATTACAGCCAAAGTGACAACCACGATAAACGTTATAACGAAACAATATTTTCTGCTAAAGATCCACTTATTCACACAAAACAGCAAGCTCTAAAGAGGTCAGTAATTGGAGAGGCCGACATAAAAATTATTATAAATGAATTAGTAGATAATGTTGTTGGTTCTATAATAAAACCTCAAATTGAAATGGAAACCAAAAGTTCAGGCAGTGAATTTATTGCGTCGTTTACCGAAGCTATAGAAAAATTTAGAGAAAGTTGGGACAGTGCTAAAGTTAGTATAGAAGATAAGGCAAAAGTTTATATTGAAATAGAGCTTGATAATAAAACCGATGTACAAATTATTGAAGAAACTTTAATGAAGCTACGGCAGTGTTATCGTCCAGTTGGTCAGATACAGGAGGAGCAAGAACTCGAACCCATGGATGAAGATGAAATTGATGCACCTTCAAAAGATCTTCTCACGTATAATGATAACCAGTTTTTATGTGAAACAAATATATACTGCCCAATAGCTTATTTTAAGTACGATGTATTATGGGAAGGCAAAGCCGAATTCTCTTTAAACTATGACGGCAAAATTCATTATTTTTGCAAAGAAGAATTTGTGGACATATTTCGTAAAGATGTTACAAATTATCAAAACTACAAGCACCCATTTAAAAAAATACCTAAATTAAAAATTTGCGTAACTGGTCCTATAGGCAGTGGGAAAACATCTGTATCGCGCCAGATAGCAAAAGAGCTAGGTTTATTACATATTGATTATATACATTTTCTTACTGAATATTTAATGCCAAAACATTTCAAAAGGATTGGACGTAAACACGAAAATATATTCACTGATGAATCTATTGATGAAGAAGCAGTAGTGGAATTTCAACTGGACGAGGAAGGTGAGAATGTATCCACTGATGTCTTGTGGAACGAGAAAGAAATGTTACGAATGTTACACAATCACTTAGAACGCGGTGGTCCTATTTTACCTGTACTTATGCAACGTATGATTAAAATATTATGGCATGATCCTAGTATGAATATGGGCTTTGTTCTTGATGGTTATCCTAGGTTACCTAGTGATATTGATGATATGATGACTAGTTATGGAATACCTGATATGATTATAGATTTACAATCTAATATTGAAGTCTCAATTAGCCGGCTTGAGCCAGAAATGTTTAAGAAATGGAAAGAACAGCAAAATGAAGCTAAAAAGATAGCTGCAATTAAATTGGACGAAGAACGAAAACAATGGATGCACAACATAACAAAAGAAATTGTAGTGAAGCTATTAATCGAAGAAATGTTCGATGCTTTGTTTTCCTTCAAACTGGAAGAAGGTTTTATCGCTGAAAGTGTGATAATGGATGCCGACCCCTCAGGAGATTTAAACGTTGACCCATTGCTATTCAAATTATATAATGAAATGGTGCAAGAACATCCTGAGCCTAGAGATACGAGCACATGGGAAAAAAATATTGCAGCTCGTGAAAGAATACAAACTAGGTTGGAAGGAATATATGAAAAAGACGAAGAAAATATGCAATCATTAAAAGAAGCCTTATTTGAACACAAAATTAAGACAGTTACAGTTGACGCGACAAAACCCTTAGAAAAAGTCATAAGGAACGCTTTGATTTCGTTATCACACATTAGAAATAGAAACGAATCATTTTTTGAACAAACTTTTATAGTTTCGCTCGATATTGCTGAAATGTTACTTTTGAGAGGATTTTATTTTTTAAGCAAATTCAACCGACTTTGTCCCGTTTATATTTTTGAAAATCCTCAAGCTATTCAAAATTCCTATAAAATCAGTAAAATTCGCGGAACTCTTTATGCCGTTATTCATAGAAGTTGCATATATTTTTTAAGTAGCGCAGATAGCGTGATCAAGTTTAGAAATAATCCACTAAAATACATTATTGCCGATGCAATCAATTCCTACTTCGAATATCCGCTGAGGATTGGTATCATAGGAACGCCTAAATCGGGTAAAAGCACATTAGCTACACGACTATCTAAAGAATTTGGTTTGTTATGCGTATCAAAAGGAAACGCAGTGAGAAGTGTGTTGGAACATATGCATTGGACGCAGTTGGCTTGTGAAATGAGGAAGACTCTTTCAAAAGGTAACGAAATTGCTGATGACCAAATTGTGCAATCTGTACAAACGTTGGCTATTGATCACCGAACAGAGACTTATGGCTACGTGACAGATGATGTCCCTGCGTGTCCTTACCGAGCTCAAAGCTATGTCAAAAATGGACTTTATCCTAATATCATTTTTGATATTTGTACTTCTAAAGACAAATGTTTACATAATTCACAAAACGAAATTTATAACCATATTCTGAAATACATGCCGCCGTACCCCTATCCACTAATGGAAATGAGATACGAGTGTTGGGAAAAAAGCCAACATAGAATTCGAGATTGGATCGCAGAGGACTATCAAAACCTGTTTGTTCTTGATGGCACTAATTGCAAGTGGAACGTTTTCAAACAAGCGATTGATCATCTAACAAAGTTGAATAATGATATTCATTTTTACGTATCTAATGTTGATAAGACCATTGTGCACGCTATTTGTATTTCGAATGCTGCTTTTGAAGAGCGACAATCCCAGTATAAAACATTGTGTCCAGTTTGTTTTCATAAAAAAATATACAAGTGGATGGGGAGCTTTTTTGGCGGAAAATCGGGCGTTGTCCAATATAAGAATAAATTCTATTGGGTTTGTCCTGAACATATGGATTTAATCATGACGTTCCCGCATTGCTATTTGACAGATATTGAAATTGAAATTCCTGAAATACCAGCTGTAATCGATATAGTCAATATAGATTTTATTTATGAAAATGGTGTGTGCGTTGTTACATACGCTGAAAATTTACCTGCACAAATAATGAATATTGGCACAAACGAATATGCTGCAAGTTACGCTGGCAAAATGTACTTATTCTGTAGTAAGTTGTGTCTTAGCAAATTTTTGTGTAGACCATACTTGTATAACGATATTACTATCTTTAAAGAAGCAAGAAAGTTCCCAAAGCTTAGTTTAAAGCAGCTGCCTAACATGGGCTATCTGGAGCAAACATTAGGCAATATGCTAACAGAAGCGTGTTGTTATGTTAATGTGATTAGACCTAAGTATCCTGGTCTTACTTTCCAAATGTCTGGGTTGATTCATATCGCATTGTTCCTGAAGACGCACAATCCTCTAACATCTAAAAATAACAAAGAAATGTATTTAAAATGTATGAAAATATATGAAGCCCGATGTAAATTGATGTTAAGTGTGGGATTGCGCTTGAGATCAATGAATAATCCATTTGCGAGCTATCCTAAATGTCACCATAAAGAGCCGACTCTTCGTCCTTCCAGCCAGTGTGAGCAGTATATATCTTCATCGCAATTACAGAGACGTTCACAGATCTTTCGAAGAACATCAACTTTTGTTCAAATGCACAAACCTTCGTACCTTGTTAATCTACAGAGACGTTCGACAGCAACTAGTCAAATGGAACGAAACTTAAATAATGAACTTAGTTAAAGGACATGAAAATTGAAATTAATATAAAGACTCCATTGAGTGTGCACATGAACATGTATTGTTTAATTTATTCGTTAATTACATAATTGGAGGCAGATACATACATTTAAGGCATAATTTTTCAATACCCATAATTTTGTAAGTGCAGTTTTTGGCAGTTTTTCATATGATATGAAAATTGGCCATTTATATGGTCTCTTTAGTCACTTGCCTCTTAATTCGTCAAGTTTTGTTATAAGTTTTATATAACATAATTTCGTTGAGAATAGGTATTGTTAGATTTCAGTTTTGTCAAGTAGGTAACCATATCTTTAGTTTGCATGTTCCTTTAATTGGAGCAATACTAACAAGAGGCTTAAGTTTTTAGTTATTTTACGTACTTATACAAAGAATTATGTTTCTCGAATTGTTATTTGCTCCAATGTCAACGATTTATTCTGTATTAATAACATTTATGATAGCATTTTTAAATTGGTGTTGCTAATCAATATAGAATTTTAATAAATACCAAAATTCTCTACTAGGTCTCTTATTACAACTAGTGATACAATACTTTTTATGTTTTACATAATGTTAGGCAAGACGGCTGAAGTAATAATTATTGGATTATATAGGACGTCTTAGCTTACTTTATTTTTATCACAAATTCATTAAAACATTTTCCTTAATATAATTAATAAATATTGTATAAATAAGTCACGACTATTTCATTTCTCTTAAACCAAACATATTTTGAAGGTTAGCATAAACTGGATTTGTAATAAATTCTGTATAATTATATTTTATTTAAACAGATGTATAATGGGCATTTTCTTTCCAGCACGTAGGGTGCCAGTGCCAGATGAGCGTTTCGATTACCTCTGTGAATTTCACAAACCAGCCAGGTAAGATACACGTGATTTTTTTATGTGATTGTCCGACAAACTAGCAAACGGATTATCTGATAGTTAGCAATCAGCGCCGCATATGTACACCCGCAACAACAGAGCAATTACGGGGGTGCTGCTTTTGGAGATTTCGGGACCTGCAGGGAGTGAGGAATGGGCCTTCGGTAACATCACTTACGCGGCGAAACTCAACGCTGTGGTTGTTTCACGACGGTTCTCTATGAAGCCGTGGTATCATTCCGATCGAGCCGACCGATTCGTGCTGAAGCATGGCTCTCCCACACTTAAAAGCACTTAGTTATTTTATTGTGACCAAATGCTTAAAAATATGTTTTTAGTATAATTATAATGTTGATTTCCAGTAAAGTGCCAGCGTTTTTGAACGTCGTGGACATTGCTGGTCTCGTCCGTGGAGCAGCTGAAGGTCAAGGGCTTGGGAACGCCTTCTTATCACACATTAAGGCATGTGATGCAATCTTCAATCTGTGCCGTAAGTACATCATCTTAAGATTCATTATTCTTCATTACCAGATGCAATGAACCTTACCCAGAAAGTAATTGGTATAAATTTCAGGTGCCTTCGATGATGAGGACGTAATTCACGTGGACGGTGAAGTAAATCCAATCAGAGATTTGGAAACAATTGGAGAAGAGCTTCGATTGAAGGATGAAGAGCAACTAATGCAAAACTTTGAGAAACTCGACAGAGTTGTCAATCGAGGCGGGGATAAGAAACTAAAGCCCGAATATGTAAGTACTGCTACTCTCGCGCGGTTTCACCCGCTGCTCGACTCCTTTTAATCGTAGCGTGATGTTTTATAGCCGATACCACTCAGGAACATTGTAGCTATCTGTCAATGAAAAAATTTTGGCAATCCGCCCAGCGGTTCCAAAGATTACCCCCTACATACAAACTTACAAACTTTATCTCTTTATAATGTTACGTGCCTGACGTCACGTTCCTGACTATGCGGGCTTGGGTTACGGGATTGGATGAAATGAAACACTAATACCGGTTTTCAGACTTTCTATTGCACTTTAGTTACAGCGTCCACGGAGTTAAGTTATCGGCGTTCCTCTCCAGCAGAGTCCGGCCGACTGACACAACTTTGCCGTTCACGCTGACTTAACTCACTTAACTGACTGCACTTCACTATTTCACTCACTTTTCTTCTTTTTCACTTCTTCCTTTTCTTCCGAATCGCTTTAGACTTAGAACTCAACTGCCAGCGGTGAGCCGCAGTTCCGCTTATATACCCCCGGTCAGGTTCTGGAACATTCAATTTCGTTATTCTTTTTGATCGTCATGCCTCCAGAACCTTCCAATAATTTCGTTATTCATTTTTATTTATTCTCCTTCTCGCTCTTGATTTTTCATTTCTTTCACACAAATAATTCCAGAAAGTTCGACAAAACTTCTATAAACTAAAAAACTTCATGTTTACGGCGGGACTCGAACTCGGAGTCTCTGTGGTGTAATCCACACGCCTTACCGATTACACCAACTCGTGTTGACAATTCACGACGAAATTTACAATCTCTAGGCAACGTTTGACAACCATCCATTGACGTCATGATGTCAAAGAGTTTGAACCACTTTTCCGTCACACTGCCCCCCTCTTAGATTCGCTCGTCCCGAGCATCGTTGCTGCCGTAATACCTCGCCAACCTGTCTATATGGACAACTTTCAAAGGGCTCCTTGAAGTCTTCCGAATTCTGTAAGTAATGTCATTGATCTTCGTGACTATCTCATAAGGACCTTCCCAACTCGGTTGCAGCTTCGGAGATTTTCCCTTCCTTCTGACTGGATTATGAAGCCAGACCAATGACCCCTCTTCAAACCCAACAGAATTGGCTCGTCGATCTTAGCGCGTCTTTGCGCGATCACTAGCTTGAAGACCGGCCTCCCTGATCTGCTCATAAATGTCCAACATTTTTGCCCTTAACTCGCTTATCTAATCGCTAAACTCGGTGCGAGTGTCGCCAGGTGGACAGCCCGATACAAGATCTGCCGGTAATCTCAATTCCCTTCCAAAATTTGCAAATGCAGGCGTCTTTGCGGTACTTTCATGTACAGCAGTCCGATAGGCAAGCAAGAAGAGAGGTATGTAAGTGTCCCAATCTCTCTGATGGCTGTCAACCACCTTTGCTAAGTGTCGCTCCAATGTTTGGTTGAAACGTTCGACCATTCCATCTGACTGTGGATGATAAGGGGTCGTTCGAGTCTTATGGATTCCCAAAACTTTACAAGTTTCCTGAAAAACTTGGGATTCAAAGTTCCGTCCTTGATCACTGTGCATCTCCAAGGGCACTCCGAATCGGGTGAATACCTCGTTTACCAACTTCGTGGCTACAGTTACTGCCTCTTGATTCGGTATGGCAAAGACCTCCGGCCATTTTGTAAAATAATCCATAACCACTAAAACGTAGCGATTGCCCGAATCAGTGATTGGAAATGGTCCAGCGATGTCTAAGGCTATTCTCTCCCAAGGCATACCAACATTGTAGATTTTCATCGCCCCTCTGCTTCTTGTTTGTGGACCCTTGACAGCTGCACAACTAGTGCATTTCCGGCACCAATCTTCGACGTCATATTTGCAATGCAACCAATAAAACCTCTCCTTGATCTTCACCAAAGTCCTCCTAATTCCCAAATGTCCTCCAGAAGATCCATCATGGAACGCTTTTAATACATCCCTTATTTTTGAACGAGGCACCACCAATTGCAAATGCTCGTCCTTGCCGTTTGTTGATTCCCATTTCCTGCACAGAAGTCCATTATGCAGCATAAGGCTTTTCCACTGTGCCCATAAACCTTTCGTTACCGCGCTATATTGGGCGACGTCACTCCAACTTGGCTTGTTACCACTTCGTAGCCACTCCAGTATTGGTTTAATATCTGCATCTCTTTCCTGTTCTAATTTCATCGCATCATCTCCCCATGCCTCGTCAACAGTATCAGTCCTTATCACCTTAAGAAAAGCAGTTTCCTTCTTGGCACAATGCTTGCAATCTTCCACGCATGGGCGTCTCGATAATGCATCTGCGTTGCCATGAATTCTTCCTCCGCGATGTTCGATTTCAAAGTCAAATTCCTGAAGTTGTTCCAACCATCTGGCTACTTGGCCTTCAGGATCCTTAAACTGAAGCAGCCATTTCAAAGCAGCGTGATCTGTTCTGATCAAAAATTTCCGTCCCAGTAAATACTTCTTGAAATGGTGCAGAGTTTTGACTACGGCCAGCAATTCCCTCCTGGTCACGCAATAATTCCTCTCCGGCTTGGATAGTGACTTGCTGAAGTAAGCAATAACCTTCTCCTGCTCACCATCGCGTTGTGAAAGGACACCTCCTATTCCAATATTGCTGGCATCCGTATCTACTACGAATATTCCTTTCGCGCTGGGGTATCCGAGAATTGGTGTGTTACAAAGCCCTTCTTTTAGTTCTCGAAAGGCTTGCTCACAATCCTCGTCCCAGATAAAGGCACGTTTCTCCTCTGTCAATCGATGCAAAGGCTTGGCAATGTCCGAGAATCCTTTCACAAACCGCCGATAATACGAGCACAATCCAAGAAATGCCCGAACTTGCGTTTTGTCTTTAGGTATTGGCCATTCCTTAACAGCGACAGTCTTGGCTGGATCAGTCTCAATTCCTCTCTCAGAAATAACATGTCCTAGATAATTCACTTCGCGCTTGAAGAAAGAGCATTTCTTTGGACTCAACTTTAAATTTGCTCCACGCAGCTTGTCGAGTACCTTTTCCAATTTCCTTAGATGATCGTCAAAATCCCGTCCAACAATGATGATGTCATCGAGGTAAACTAGGCAGGTTTCGCCCAGCAGTCCCGCCAGCACCTGTTCCATCAAACGCTCAAAGGTTGCCGGTGCATTGCATAATCCAAATGGCATCACCTTAAATTGCCAGAGTCCCTTCCCAGTTGAGAATGCGGTCTTTTCCTTGTCCTTGGGATCCAAATCCACCTGCCAATAGCCGCTTTTCAGATCGAGCGTTGAAAACCATTTCATGCCACTCAGTGTGTCAAGTGTGTCATCGATTCTTGGTAAAGGGTAGCTATCCTTCTTGGTTACATCATTCAATCGTCGATAGTCTACGCAAAACCTCGTTGAACCATCTTTCTTCTTGACAAGCACGACAGGTGAACACCAAGGGCTAGAAGAGGGCTCTATTACGTCATTTTTTCTCATATCGTCAATCATTTCTTCAACCTCTTTCTCACGAGCGAATGGTATGCGTCTGGGCCTTTGACGAATTGGCATTGTATCACCTGTGTTTATTTTATGCTTCACCAAGCCAGTTCGGCCAATATCACCATCGCTTCTTGAAAACACATCAGAGAATCGAAGAAGTAAATTTCTAGCTTTCATAGTCTCCACTTTTGTTAGACTTTTGTTTTCGTCTAAGATTTTCGTTACAAAGTCAATTCCCGTACTGTCCTTCTTCACAAGATTCTCCGAGCATTTTCTTATCCAGGCCACTTCTTCCAATACGCCCACAGGCTCTCCTTCTTCAATCGTAATTTTTGAATCACTGAAGTTGAATACCGGAATGCGGTTGACATCAGATGACCCCACGACAGTTCTTGCCGGTAGCCATGAGCTTACGTGTTCCGATTTATCAATCACAGCGCACCTTCGAGGTAAACTTCCTTCCTTCCTCCTAGGTAATGCGATTGGTACGAGAGTCTGTGATTTTGGTGCAAGAACAGTTCTTCTTAAACAGCAAACTTTTCCCAGGGTTCCACCCTTCATCGGAATTTCCTCAGTTCCACATAGTAATACTCCAGATTTTAAGTCGATGTTACACTGGTGCCCTTGCAGGAAGTCAAGTCCCAGGATGCAGTCATCCAGAATTCTGGCCACAATAACCTCATGTCGATAAACACGTTCCCCAATTTTGATTGTTACATGCAGTTTTCCACTTATCGGTATGCACTGGCCGGTAGCTGATTTCATTTGTAGGCCAACAATTGGTTTAAGGTGTTTCCTGATGTTTTGCTCGAGCAGCCGAACATTTATCACCGTCTTTGAAGCTCCAGTATCTAATGTTAGCTGACTGTTTTTCCCATTTACTTGACCGTCTATCACCAGAGTATTTCCATCGTTGGTTTGCTTGATGTAAATTGTTGGGGTTGTTCCACTACTAGCCGCCCACCCCGCAGCCCTGGCTGGATTTAAGTTTCCCTGCTGGTCAGAAGTTGAGACCGCCGCCTGGCGGTTCATCTTCTTCGGGCAGTCGCTCCGTATGTGCCCACGCTCTCCACATCCATAGCACATGAAGTTCCGACGGCGTGGAGGTACCTGCTCCGTTGTCGTCATTTCCCGCAGACGTAAGGTACGGGAGTTGCCACGCACGGCTTCCACTTCCAATGCATGGGCCAGAGCTTCTTTCATGTTCTTGTGATGGCCCAGATGAACAGCAGCTCGTACTTCTGGGTCCCGAATACCGTCAATGAACGCTTGGAGAAGCGTGCCTTCAATCATAGACGGAGTCGACCGGAAAGCTCGACGCACAAGTTTCTCGATTTCCACGGACCATTGCTGTAGACTCTCATTAGCACGCTGAGTACGCTCTTTTAATTGCGCTCTGTACACGTGCTCGAGGTGGCTGTCTCCAAAACGTGCCTCAAGTGCGTCGAGGAGGGCAGTAAAGCTGAGATCCCCACTTGCGCCGATAGCTTCCAGCACTGAGAGCGCTTGATCACGGAGGGCCAGGGTGAGGGCTGACTGAGCTTCTTTCTGAGTCCAACCATAAGCCTCCATAAGTGTCTCAAACTGTAGCTTGAACGCGGTCCAGGATGTTGTTCCGTCGTAATGGGGAATCTTGAGCCCTTTCGTTGCGCTTGAGGCCACATTTGGGGTGTCAAAAACGGCTGCAAGACGGCTTCGGCTCTTCAAAGGGCTTGGGCTTGTCACTTCCTGCTTGATTTTGGAGATCTCTTCTTCCACTCTCTCCTCTATCGCCATGACGCGATGTTCCAACTTGCCTAACCCTTCCTCCACTTCTTGTACCCGTTCGACAGCCTTTCGCAGTCCACTTTGTGGGCGTGGGTTCGAATCCCACTTCTGACACCAAATGTTACGTGCCTGACGTCACGTTCCTGACTATGCGGGCTTGGGTTACGGGATTGGATGAAATGAAACACTAATACCGGTTTTCAGACTTTCTATTGCACTTTAGTTACAGCGTCCACGGAGTTAAGTTATCGGCGTTCCTCTCCAGCAGAGTCCGGCCGACTGACACAACTTTGCCGTTCACGCTGACTTAACTCACTTAACTGACTGCACTTCACTATTTCACTCACTTTTCTTCTTTTTCACTTCTTCCTTTTCTTCCGAATCGCTTTAGACTTAGAACTCAACTGCCAGCGGTGAGCCGCAGTTCCGCTTATATACCCCCGGTCAGGTTCTGGAACATTCAATTTCGTTATTCTTTTTGATCGTCATGCCTCCAGAACCTTCCAATAATTTCGTTATTCATTTTTATTTATTCTCCTTCTCGCTCTTGATTTTTCATTTCTTTCACACAAATAATTCCAGAAAGTTCGACAAAACTTCTATAAACTAAAAAACTTCATGTTTACGGCGGGACTCGAACTCGGGGTCTCTGTGGTGTAATCCACACGCCTTACCGATTACACCAACTCGTGTTGACAATTCACGACGAAATTTACAATCTCTAGGCAACGTTTGACAACCATCCATTGACGTCATGATGTCAAAGAGTTTGAACCACTTTTCCGTCACAATAATATTAGTAAAGATAACACTTCATCATTATCACATCAGCCACAATTGGATAGTTTCCTAGGTCAAAAATAAATTAATTCGATGTTTCAATACAATAAAGTATTGAAAAATAACTATACTTTTATCGATATATTATTTTATCGATCGATCGATACACAAAATGTTATATATTTTTTAGCTAATTTTTAAGAAATAAGCAAACTATTTGACGCAAGAATACTATGACGTCATTACTCAGTGTTTCATACAAATTTCATAGAAAAGTAGTGGTATTTGACATTTAGATAAAAGTATTGAATTTGACTAGTTAGAAACTACCGTATTTACTGGATGTGGCGGTGTTCTTTACTTGAGCTGAGTACCGCCATGACCTTACAGAAAAGATCGGCGGCGCCGACTTCTCGCATTCGGTCTTAGTCGAGGCCGTGCCGTTTTAATCAGTGTTGTTCATGTGTTAGAACACATAAATGCATATTTTTACATACATTTTGCTAACGAATTCCTTTTAACTGTTACAGGATGCGCTGACAAGAATCAAAGCCATACTAGTTGATGAAAAGAAACACATTCGTTTCGGAGATTGGAGTGCAGCTGATGTAATTATTTTTTGTTTAAATTTTTACCTTAATAATGCAGCGTAGAATTCAATATACATATGAAATATAAACCGCTCACATGAAACCACGACAGGGCTTATAGTCAAGCTAACAGTTCGCTGCATGATAATAATTCAATGTCGTTTAGCATTGAAAAGTTCAAAAAACTTATGATTTACTTTTGATATTTTACTTTTCAAATGTTGAAATATTTTTGCTAATAAAAACAATTGTGTTACAGATAGAAGTACTCAACAAATACCTCTTCCTGACATCGAAGCCCGCTCTCTACCTTGTCAATTTGTCAGAAAAGGATTACATCCGAAAGAAGAACAAATGGTAAGTAAAGAAATATGTATTTGTAACTTTATCACTGTAGAAATAAAGGCTAGTTTTGTGTAGATCAATTATTTCATGTTATAAAAAATTTACTATATTGTATATTACCGTACCACAAATCTATGTTTTTAGCACATTATCTCAATTTATTTTTCAGTTTAGCAATATTATTAGCATTGTCACACAACTTGTATCAAAGCTGTCAGCGGATTATCTTTTGTAAATAAACACGTGTTTTTCTTTAAGGTTGCCCAAATTAAAAGAATGGATTGATAAAAACGACCCTGGTGCGCCGCTTATACCCTTCTCCGGAACACTGGAAATGAAACTGCTCGAGATGGAGCCGGCAGAGAGACAAGCTTTCTTGAAAGAAAACAATCTTACCAGGTAAACAGTTTTTGAAAGCAATAGCCCTTCCTTTTTATCAAAGACTTTGCCAAAATGTTGGCAGACCAATTTGATATTTATATTTGCGGGTTTATCATATAAATCGTTATTGCTTAGTCTGTCAAATACACGGCAAAGTAGGTGACGGTCGTTTGAACGGTTGGATCGGTGGTGGGTTAACAACTGCCAGTGAGAGGGTTTGTTTCTCTCATGGAACAACTCTCTGTGTTCAACTAATTGTTGTTCTGGATCTGGGTAGGATATGTGTATTTTACATACATATGCATTATATGTTTGTTCACGCAACCACGACTCCTGAAGACAATTCTAATGTGGGGCAACATTTTTTAGACGAGAAAAAAGTCTTTAAGATTATCTAGCTAACTACCTACTAACTAAAAAAACTTAAATACCACACCTAATACGATCACCAAGTCAGTTTTTTTGTATCACAGCGCTGCCATACAGATCCTAGGTAGATTATTTATTTTATCCGATCGAATCGATGTAAAATTCTCACTTGTCTTGTGCGAGTTGCCTCTGCTGTTATCAACTGTTAAAATACATAAATTTATCTCCTAAACAGTGCATTGGACAAGATCATCGTTCAAGGTTACAAAGCTCTGCAGTTGGAGTACTTCTTCACTGCAGGACCTGATGAAGTTAAAGCGTGGACAATTCAGGTAACGTTCCATTTTATTATTGTGCATTATTCTTTACTACACTGTGTTTGTACAATAACTATATTGAGTCGACACATGCATCTAAATATCCGACTTAACGAGAATATACGAGTCCCGGTGTAACCTGAAAGTAGTAGAGATTCTCTCGATATAACTTGGTTACTTACTAGTAGTCGTAGATCAAACTTCCTCGGTGACGACTAGTCGTTAAATAATCCGTTTAAAATATATCATTATGGGATTTACAGAAAGGCACCAAAGCTCCTCAAGCCGCTGGTAGGATTCACACAGACTTCGAAAAAGGTTTCATTATGGCTGAGGTGATGCATTTCAAAGACTTCAAGGAGGAGGGCACTGAGGCTGCTTGTAAAGCGGCCGGCAAATACAGGCAACAAGGTAATTTATATTACAGCCTGTTATTTTACAAGGAGATACATTTTTAAGTGCTTAAAATAAAACAGAACAAAGTGGTGGCGGCATATGTCCATGCCAAAAGGCATGCCAGATGTTTGGCACAGTGAGTGCTACTTTATATAAGCTTTATATTTCGCCAAAGGGAGTTAATAAGTTAGTTTAAGATGAGCTCAACATAAGCTTTAACCCGTGGTATACGCGCCGGAGCGCGGATATACGCAAACACGATACGTTTTCTATTGTGCCTCATATATCGGCAGACAGTCTTCAATTATATGCGCCTGCTCAATATTTTTATTTTTTATTGGGGTCACCAACAATCTTCCAGTTCATTAAAAAAATGTTTCTTTTGCATTAGTCAAGGATACATATTGCTAGTACTACTGCAAAAATGTATCCTTAAACCTATGATATAAAGACAACAATAAAAAAATCTAAATATTAGAATGTAACGCTTATACCATTACAATTTCAGGTCGAAACTACGTAGTTGAAGATGGTGACATAATTTTCTTTAAGTTCAACGCTGGCGCTGGTCTAAAGGATGCGAAGAAAAAATGACGTGACAAGGTACTGCTGTTATTGGTACATCTTCTGTACCTAAACCTCGTCTTGTACACACTGCTCCACGTCGCATAAGAGTACTCTAAGGATTTTCTACCAACCATATTTATAACCACATAATAAATTATGTATCTGACTAAATAAAGCTTGTTAATGTTTGTCAAATTAAATTTATTTGGAACATTGAATGTAGTTATTGTAATAATTTACAGTGATTCACCATTACTTAAATTACTTCGACGAGTTCTTGAATGCGTGTCACTGTATGTGTCTCCTTGTCTACGTCATCGTTTTCGAATATTTCTGTAAACATTTTGTCTAATATCATTCGTAGTTGTTTGAGAAAACGCTTCAAGTTTATATGTGATAGAATTCCTTGTTCCGTTACGGGTGCTAACTTTTCTTTATCCTTCTCAGTTTTCTTAAACACGCTGTTTATGATGTAGGACATCGCTTGAGTGACTGCTTCCTCCCATTCCTGGCAATACACAATTTATTATATTAGCAAAGCAGCTCAAACTGGCTTTTACCCACACCTTAATTCTTGTTAATATGAAATTTATTAAACAACACTATCTCTATAACACACTCATCAAAATTCGTTTAGCAGTTTAGGTGCACAAGCGCAACAAAAAACACTTACTTGATAATCTTCATAGAACGAACTAAGAGATAACATTTCTTCTATAAGCGTCACCTTGAGTTCGTCTCTTGTAAATTGCTTCAATAAATAAATTATAAGATTGCCCACGGCCGATAACGCACTTCCAGCTCTGTAACCAGATAAATGTAAGTCGACCGATCAATGTGAGCACTTTTTTAAATAGTGACACCGCAAATCTTTGAAAATTATTTTCTATAATATTTCTTTCACGAATAAGCGCCTCGTACCACAGAAAAACATCAAATCGATCATAACAGTCCCATATTGTATTCAATTTGGGACTAGCACTCATTATCAACAATACCAATTCGCCTAATTCGCTCAAAAGAATTTTCCAAAAAGAAATAGGTAAATTTTAAATAAGTACAATTGCTCAACAAAAGGTCCTCAATAATGATGACACGTATTTTTCCTCACCTGCAAACAGCCTCCTTACAATTAATTATTTCATGTACAACTGTGATCAACCGTGAATGTGTATCTTTCATGAGAAACTCCAAAGGATCGCAATCCCCAGGTGGTAGAGATCCATATTGAACCAATAACCTCTTTTGAACCACTATGAATTGCTTCTGAAGTACGTTCATTTCATCCTAATAACATAAAAGCGACTAAAATATTTTTTCCAAAAATTCAATCGAAAACTGTTCAGCTGTTTATGTGTTCGTAACAATAACTCATATTTGATATTTGAAAACTTACCTCTAATTCTTTTAACTTATTCCGTTCCTTTGCATGGGTTTCGACGCATTTCAAAAACTTGTGAATCAATTGTTTAACGAACTCTTTGTCATGTTTTATATTGAATCTGAAATCTTTAACACCCATTCGTATATTGTGGTCGATGAGTTTTATAAGAAAATGGTCCAACACAGCAGTTATTTCAGTGAAATCGTCAGCTTCTACTAAATATTGATCGACCTCACTTTTTAATGTTATAGTTTGTTTTGTTGACCTGTACGCCAAAGTTACCGTATTGCCATATTTTCTTAGTTCCTCTTCTGAAAAATCTAAAACAAAATTGTCTTATAATAAAATACACTTTCCAATAGAGCACTGCATTCATTTGCATTTAAAGTTTTATCCATTCTTACAAACTTATACATTGACATAAATACATTTTTATTAAAGAGGGACCTACCTGTAAATATCTTTGAGAATTCAATGCATGCGTTATTAGGTTGAATACGCAATTTAAGTCGGCCTTCAGTGCTATTCTCTATTGGCGTGCAATAAAGACTTAGAGGCAATAACACTTGTCTATTGAATACTTCTATTTTTCCCATACTATCAGTAGCTGTTATTAGAATATTAACTCTAGTATCGGAAATATCAGCTTCACTAGTAAGGAATACTTGGTTCTCTATAATTTCTGTTCCATTGACACTGTCTAAACAAATAGTGGAGTCGGAACAAGAAAATGGAGAAACACATACGTAAGACACTTGCAAGCTTTGTATTAACTTGGAATCTTCACACGTTAGTATCAAAACTACCGGGCACATTAACAAATGTAGCGCCTCATTCTTTTCATTTGCGAACTCTTGAAATAAATTCTGCACCGGTTTCCCCACGTCTGCCTTTATTTTAAGTATTTGTTCTATTGAGGATCTGCTGTTATTGACATCTAAAATCATTGTAATGATTAATAATAAGATTTAAATAAAAATAGTTTTGAGTATTATGATTTTTTTCTATAAGTTTACTGTCACCTTCGTTATTGTTCAGCATTTTATGCAATGAATCTTCAACTGTTTCTAGTTCTTTTTGTACTTGTTCGGGATCGGAGACTTCGTTCATCATTGGAGGTGCGGTTGAATTGAGATCTGGTTCTGTTCCCAGGTAACCAACATTCACAATTCCGTTTACAGAAAGTGTGGCCAGACCGCCAGGTAAAGATTTTAAAAAGCATCTCGATATTGCTATAGCCGGACTTATAAGCGAACAGCTCCATAATAAAGTAGTTCCTTCGTAGATGTATAGTTTTGAATCTTCTGATGTTACCATTATGAGTAATCTAGCACCAGGCTCTGGGAAATATAAAAAAATTGAGTTTGCTGAAGAAATCATATGGTATTCAAATGTCAATAATGCAGTCATATTACTGCATTATTTGGACGCAGGTTGCTTACTTAGGGTCCAAATCATAATACTAATCACATCTATAAATCACTGTGGGAGAGCCATGCTTCGGCGTTTATTGACGGTAAGTGGGTCTCCGGTGGCCCAATCCTTCCTTTCCCACCAACCCCCAAACCATCCATTTTCGGTGTTCCAGTTTCAACAAAACTATTCTTAGTAACAAATCGGGTTTGTTTAGCAAAACACAGAGCACACAACAAGTAAGTATCTATTTAGAAAAAAAACTTACCATAATACCAACCAATGAGGTAGGCACAGAAGCAAGTCGGTACAAAATCGAATTTTATCATGTACTTCATTAGACCATTGTCTTGGAAACAGTAAATGTGCCTCTCACCTAATGCTACAATACTGGAAAAGTTGTTACTGGTCTGTGAAAGAGCGTCCAGTATTATTTTCAAAATATTTATATACACAGGTGTCGTATAAGTTACCTACGCTACCTCAAACAGTGAAAGTGAATAAAATTCGATACACAGCTGAAACTCGTAACTGTTTGACAGGTCTGCTCGACCAGTTTCAAACTACACCAGGAGCTATAATTACACGAGCAGTAGTATCAATGCACCAGACGCATTATTATAAATGAAGAGTTCTCTGAGCCATCTAATTCTGACTTACTCTGTCGAAGTGAGATAGAAAAGTTTACCTGGATAACTTGCACTCGAGTTATTTCTTCGCCTGCATTATAAATCCACTGTGGGATGTTTTTCTTGTTCTGTCTGACAGTTAGCTCACTAAATTCTCTTAATTGCTGGTAGCTACAAAATGTACAAAAAATTGTTATCAATTGAATAAGTAGGTACCAACTTTTACTTGTCGTCTGTTAATTAGTCTGATTGTTAATTCGAGATTCAGGATTTCTACCTAAGTAAGTACATAATTTAGGGTTATCAAATTTTCTAATATAGACAAACGCACAATTCGGGTTCAGTCAATTTGGTTAAAAGTTAGGATTTCTAGGGTCGAAATAAGTTTGTAAGGGGCCTGTTGCAATACCTTTACATAATTAGGAGGAACATACATAGATAGCTACCTACATAGTTCAAACGAATTACGTTCTATATTCTATTTTTTATTATATTATCAAATATTGTGTTTCAAAACCCAAGGTTTTATTGATAAGTAGGTACTTATGAAAATTTTGTCTCTGACATTTGAATATGTTACGTTACGCTCATGGTCAGACTAAAGCGCAATAAATGTAAGTTAATTAATAACGAAATATAAATGACCATAGACGAATTCGGGGGAAATACCTGCGTTTGTCATGTTTAATACCTTAATGTCTTGTAATACCGTACTAATAAGTATTCACGAACCAGATCAGGTACATTAACATAAAATATATCTATATCATATAATAAATCTAATACGAGTAGTAGGTATCTATGGTTCATCGATCATCAATCGGGTTCAAAACCCGAATTTAAGGGAAAGCACCGGTTGGATTTTTAATCTGCCATAATCCTCCAAATTCTTAGTAGCATAAGTAGGCACTTACCTGTATATTTCTAACAGCCACGTAGATTTACAAATCACGAACGAATCGCAACTCGCAATATAACAAACAGGCGATGGTATTATGACGTCATTGAAAATACACATAAACAGGAACGTATCTTGATCGAAGAAGCTCAGACTGCCATCCAGGCCTTGTATGCAGATAAAATCTCTGGTCTTTATGTTTCCAAATGGTCCACATGTTAAATTATCCGCTTTCCTTGTAAATGAATGTTTTATTACTGTTGTAAGATAGTTTTGATCACCTGCGAGTTATAAAAAGAGTTTCAAATATGTAAGTTACATTTCCTATTTTCACTCTCTATTCTCAAATCAAATCAAATTCTTTATTTCAAATAGACCAAAAAAGGCACTTTTGAACGTCAAGCAAAAAAGATATCATAAGGTTTAACTTTATGTGTCAGTCTGTCCGTCTGTCCTCTAGTGAAGCTATTTGCTCGTTCCAAAGTGTAGATTCCTATGGAGAAGAACAAGCAAGAAACTCCATGGTTACTCTTTTTCAATCACTTTTTACAATGCATTGTTACATAAATTAGATTAGATTCTCTATGGTCTGTAAGCACTGAGGACCACCTTTTTATGGTAGGTAGTTATAATAGTTGTTTACAAAGAAGAACAGTCTACTTACATACTGTAATACTAAGAACTTCCAGTGAAGTACCTAGGTATGTATTTATGTAAGTGTGGGAGAGCTATGCTCAGGCAGGAATGAAAACCAGCGTCAAACAACTACAGCAGTCGTGTTTCGCCCTGTGAATGAGGTTACTGGAGTACCAATCCGGCCCATTCTCCATTCCTGCCCAATCTTTAAATATACCGTGATTGCCAAAGCCCTAATATCCCAAAAGGCC